CGGAACCAGGGATTGAACTCAGGCCTTTGCGCTTACCAGGGAAGCACTTATTCCAGTGAGCCATCTCCCCGGCCCCTATAGTTACATTCTCTTAATGAATAGAGGGATTTGTTGTAATAGTGTTTGTAAATAGGATCTCATGTCCGCATCGTGTACAGCAAATAACCACTAGGAAGACAATATGCAATGTGTTAATTATTGAAACTGTCCTACCAATTTGATTTGAAACTGTCTCACTGCTATTTGCCTGTCAATAAAATTATGGGGGAAAAAAACCTAAATTAGAAAAATATATATATTCCTTTGGAGCTGGCCAGATAGTTCAGTGGATTAAAACACCTGCTTAGGCAGGTGCAGGGACTGGGGTTCAATCCCTGTATGCTGGCCCGCACCACCTGTGGGCACTCTGAGAGGGTGACTGACACTGGGTGTGGTGGCCCATGCCTGTAATCCCAGCACTTGGGAGCCTGAAAACAGGCGCATCACTATGACTCCAATCTACATAGTGAGACCTTGAGACCTTGTACTAAATACATTAAAAATAAATAATAAAATTATGTAAATGAATAAATAAATAAATAAATAAATAAACGTCAGCTAGCTCCGAGGCACAGCAGTATGGCTAAGAGGAAAGACAGAAGAGAAACATTCTATAGTATGGCAGACATGAAGTAGCAAGCCTTCCTTACTCCTTCCTTTTTCATTCTATCCAGGCTATAAGCCCACTGCTTAGTGCTAGTGGCACCCAGTATGGTTCTTCGCTCTTCAGTAAATCCATTTTCCACACACAAAACTATGCTAAACCAATCAGTGCATTGAATTCAGTATTCTACATCCATGATCTCACCTTTGGGAAGCCATCTAGATACAACAGACTTTAAAATACCTAACTAAGCTTGCTCCAACTTAGCCTATTAATGTTCACAAATGGTTAGACTCTATTTTCTAATATCGCTAACAATCATCTTAGCAGATCTTTTTACTATTGAATCACTAATGGAACAAACTTTCCTTTCTTCTGCTACATTATTCTTTTAATATACAGATACTTCTTAATTTATATGGAGTTTCCAACTTACATCATAAGTTGAAAATTATATACGTCAAAAAGCATTGAATATTCCAAAAGAACATCTTCGTATAGCAACACTGAAAATTATATTGTATCAGTTTTTTACCCTCCCAATGGTGCCGCTAACTGGGTGCTGAAACTCACTACCACCACTCAGCATTACACATAATGAATTACATATACTAGCTGAGGAAAATATCAAAATTCAAGATTTGAAGTATATTATCTACTGAATGAATATCATTATCACACTAGTCTAAACTTGAGTTTTACTCTGTTTTGATTTTTGTGGTACTGGCAAAAAGCCATTTGTAGGTACATGCAGAGAATAAGTCAACTGAGGAAAAAGGCAGAAGGCAGCCATCTAGACACTAGGAAGCAAGCTCGCACTGAGAGACAGTCACCTTGACACGCTATATCTGACTGCCATCCTCTAAAACTGGGAAAAAATAATTTTCTGCTGCTTAAACCATACCCAGTCTATGGTATTTTATTATGGGACCCAGAGTTATCTACAACAACAGAATAACAAGGAAGTTATTGGGACTAAATCATTTTCAAATAAAGATAGAAGCCAATCTCATATCCTATGCTAAAACTTTTTTATGTTTGTGACTTATCAGCAAAAAAGTATAGAAATACTAAACTTAAAAATGGATAATTACATATTATTTGTAATAAAGAAGATACAAATGTCAAAGTGGAAGATAAATTTACATAAAAAATTTTAGAACTTTCAAAGAGCTACAGGGAAAAAAAGCAAAGAGAACATGAAATTAAGAAAAATATTTACAAAATATAGCAGACTGGAAATTAACTTTCAGATTAAAGACAGCTATGCTTTATTAACAGAAAAAATATTTTAAAACTTATTAACGTAGAAAACAAAGGTTACCTCTTTCTACCTTCCTTTTCTTTTTTAAATGGTATATTATTTTAATAGTTATATTTTCATGCATGTTGCCCACTATTTTAAAATGAAATTTCTGTCCCCATGCCTGCATAATTTATCATTAGCTTCTATTTAAGTAATATTGCAAGAATGTTGCACTTTAAGAAAGACATGCTTTGTAAAAAGAATGGAAAATTTGGATTAAAGGAAAGTATATACTTCTTGGTATTTTAAGTGTTATCCTATTCCTACTATTCTTTTTAAACATTCTCATAGTACAATGAAAATATGGCTTCATATGTAAAAATTAACTTACTAGTAGCTTTGTAAGAACATATACAAAGACTATTGCATAACTTTATTTTACAGTCATTTTCCCAGTTGTAAAAACTGACGCAATTGCATTTGTATTTATTTCCTTTTAGCAAAAATAGAATTTGACATAATTGTTGTACAGAATCATATAAAACAAAGGAAGTGTGACTAATATTACTTAATTAATCCATAACACAAATACTGTTGCATCTCCGTTTTGAAAACTTAGATACTAAGAATTATGTTTTTTCCTGGCATTTTTTTTCTTTCTTTTTTTTTTCTCCTAACATATTTTTATTCCAAACTAACAAATCTAGGAAATGAGTTCAAAGAAGGTCAATGTTGGCAGAGCTGTTGCTGAGGTCACCAATAGCACTGACTGCCAGGCGGTGTTACAGATGGAAGACCTTGCACAGACTGGCCACCCTCTACTAGAGATGGATATCTTCAGTAGTTTACTCCTATTTTCAAAAGGTCACCCATTGTTCTCAAAAACACATTCAGCCTATGAGTATTTGTGCATCCAGAGAAGCTTCTAGCAACAAATATTATCTAGATCTAAACCAACCTAATCACATAACTGCTAAAGCTTTTTTCCTTTATGGGGTTGAGAAAAAAATTCTTATCTTGATACAGTTTTTAGTATGAACTGCAAAGAAAGTATGACAAACTTCCAGGTACCATGTTGCTAGATTCAACAATTATTCACACACACATTTTTTTAGTGAACCATTTAAAAATATGTTTGAAAAGTTTCAATACATATTTTCTAAGAACTGACACATTTTTATGTAACTAGATAGAAATTACCAAAATTACAAAGCAACTTGGTAATTATATAATCTCAAGTCTATATTAACATTTCTATTACTATTCCAATAATTTTTTCAGCTTTTCTTTTTTATTAAGGACATGTTTGTAGTACACAATGACTACACCTCTTGTGAGGACTTAGTACATGCACAAAACACATCTAAATTCTTTTTCATCCCTTTCCCTTCTACCTCCTTCCATCTCTTGATTCCCTTGATACCATTTGATAGCCAAGTTTCTAAGTACCCCTTGATACCATTTTGATTCCCTTGATACCATTTGAATAGCCAAGTTTCTAAGTACCCCTTGTTAAAGAGGCTATCTTTTCTCTAGTACGTGTTTTGGCCCATTTGTCAAAGAACAAATAGCTGAATGTGCTTGGGATTCAGTGGTCTATTCTGCTCTATTGGTCCATATGCACCAGTAGCCATAACTTTGTAGTATAACTTGAGGTATGGGATTGTGATGTCTTCTGCTTTGCTTTTGTTACCAGGAATGCTTTTACTACTGAGTCTCTTCTGCTTTCATCTAGATTTTAGGAATGCTCTGTCCAGTTCTGTGAAGAATTGTGTATGAATTTTGATTGAAACTATGTTAAATTTGTGTTATGTCTTTGGAGTATGGTTATTTTAACTATACTGCTTCTGCCTATAAAGGAATTGATTCTCCCTCCAACTATGTCTCCTAAGCCCACCTCCCCTTGTCCTGGCATGGGGTCAACAGTACTCCTCCAACATGCATTGCTTCCATGAAGATACTGTGCTACCACAACCCAAAGCACTACAGCAAATTAGTCATGGATTAACACTTCCAGAACCGTGAGCAAAAAAAGGTTTTCTCCTTATAAATTCATTGTACCAGGTATTTGGAAGAGTCACTAACAAAGAAGGCAGTCATATGCCTAGGCATTACCAAGAAGCCTTTATTCTGTCACCTCTTATACCTGATTCATCAAAAAGTATAATTAATCTCAATTCTAAAAAAAAGTCCTGAATTCATCAACATTTCTCCATAACTACTATCATCTCTTGATCTAAGTTAGTATCATTTCTCACCTGGAATATTAGACTAGCTTTTCTATGATCCATTCTTCACTCTCATCCATTGCCTACAATTCAGCAAAAACTATGTGTTCAAAATACAAATCAGGTTACCTCACTGAAACTGAAATTTACCCCACACTCACACACACAGTTCTCTCCCTCTCCCTTCCCTTTATTTTTCTTTCACTCACCCACTCCCATTCAGCCTACTATCAAAATCATCCTAAGTAATAACTATTTCTCCAATGTTATGCCTTACCTTATCTGCCTAGCTTTCTGTAGTCCACTCTGTACTTCTTTTAATTCTTTAAAAGGGCTATCCTACTTCCCATTATAGATTTTGTAAATGGTTATTTACTTGCTGGTGGATTAGACAAAAAGAACTGTAGGATCATTGATGATTTTAAAGTTTCTATTTGGCACAACTAGATGAGTATTAGAATCATTTAATGAGGGTTTTTTAAAATGTAAAATTCTCTTGTTGTTGACTCACAATTATTCCTCAAAAACTTTCTATATAAAAGCCATTATATTACCACTGCCACATACCTTAACTGAAAATGCCCTTGATAGGTCGGTCCCTCCTTAATGATCTGATCTCAGAATGCCAATTGTTATCAAACAACTGAAGAAAGCTCTCTATTGGTCTAAACTACCAATCTATTTTAATTTTCAAGAGTTGCATTATCCTGACAGATATGCTCAATTGTTCAGGTGTCTCTTCCAGTTAAAATAACAACTCTGAGCAGAAACGTTCTCTCTTTTAACACTGTATTTCTACTGCCAATGCATGAGTTCAAAATGTACTGAATAATTTACAACTAACATTGTTTACCTAAAATAAAGTGGATTATCACCAAAAATTCATGTTATATTAAATTTTATCAAAAATATGTGGCAAATGATAATTGAGCAACTTTATCTTTTTTAATTCATGTGATTTATTTGTTTTTTTATAATTTTATTGATAAACAAATAGCAATGAGACAGTTTCAAATCAAATCGCTAGTACAGTTTCAATAATTAATACACTGCAAACATTCTTCTTAGTGGTTAATTGCTGTACAAGATGCGGACTTGAGATCCTCTTTACAAACACCATTAGAACAAATCATTCTATTCATTAAGAGAATGTAACTATATATCTATCCTAACCACTTTGAATACAGATACAAAATGGACATTCATCTGAATACCCTTTTTTTGTTAAGTTCCGTTATTTGAATATTATAGGTGTGTAAACTCAGCAAAATATTCTAAAAGAGTCCAGTAGCCCATAATAGCATTGGGTCTTCTGTTTAACTGGCAATGTCAGAAATTGTTGACCTGAGTCCCCCACAGCTCAACATAACAGCATGGCTTTACTTCCTATATTTCGTCTTCATACTTTTCTACTGGATGGTTAAGACCAACGTAAAGCAGGACCTATGCAACAAGAGTTGTAGAGTTGTAGCTTTTTGGTCTGATAAGGTCAGTGAAATGCCCTCAGGATTTATCCTGAGATCCTGTACCGCAGATTGTAGAACCTTTGTCAGTGTCAGCCATGTGGATGAGTCACAGCCATTGCTTGGCCAATGAGAACAACTTTATCTTATACACTGCTGTTTTCTTCAACAGGCAAAAGAGAAAATGGGTTTCAAATCAGTGCTTACAATATTAAAGGATATCAGGTTAAGTATGAAGTAGAAGCTAAGAAAATGAGCCCCAATTGGCTTTAAATACATATTCCACCTCTTACTCTGTGAAACTGGTTAACCAACCTCTCTAAGATAGCTCCCTATACAACAACATAAGTATAACAATAGATACATTTATATGAGTGCAGTAAGGAAAAATTTAAGACAGTATGTCTGAAATACCCAGAACAATGTCTAACACACAGTGAACAATCAGTAAATGTTAAAAGCTGTTTTATTTTTGCAAAGAGCAACCACACAAGTGAGATCAGCACTCAAGAACAATGACATTTAGAAGACAATACTTCAGTATGGTTTTGAAGGACATATATTGCTCCAAATAGGTAATTCCAAAAATATACATACATTGATTTTAAAGCAGTGAAACACTGAATGGTATATAAATAATCAGTTCTAAGAATTCTGGGCTTCCTCATACATACCGAGTGGGTACGGAGTGCTGCAATGGTTTTTGAAAGTGCCATTTCCCATAATTCATCAATGTAGGCTCTATTTACTAAGCCTTGTGTTGTATGTAAAATGTGATCTTCAACCACAAAAAAGCTAAGATTGAAGAGAAAAAGATAGCTGTCAGAAGTTATAATTTGATTATTATAACTTTGATTATTATAGCTAGGATTTGACAAACATTAAAAGCTGTCATCAAGTTCAAACATAATATTCATTTTTTTTTCTTATAAAGTAACATTTTAGACTGAGAATCATATTTATGACTGGAGATTGAATCCAGGGTATTTGCACTTACCTACATGTACTGTCTCTTAAAAATTTTGACATATGATAGCCTTAAGTCACTATATTATTGAGCCGAGAATTGAACAACATGATCATCTTACATCAGCCTCCGAAGTGCTAGAATTATGGTTAACTCGCCATATCCAGCTTTAATTTTAAAAAACAGGTCATCAATATGTTTAAAAACACTAATAGATTTTACAGAGACAATGAAACATTTATGTTGATATATATATATATATATATATATATATATGAAAGTATCTATTTCAATACAACACATTAAAGTGTACACTTTCTCATTAAAAGTGTCACAAAGGTATGATACGGAAGTTTTTTTTTTTTAAAGAAAGAAATTTATTTTTAAAGACCTTTTTGTGGCTTCCTGTTATACATTTAAAATACACCTCCAGTTATCTAGCTTATGGGGGGCTTGTTTGTTTTTTGTTTTGAACTAGAAATCAAACTTGGAACTTCACAATTGCCAGGCAGGTGATCATGCAAGTGAGCTATATCCCAGGTCCTCACTTACTATTAATTGCTAATTAAATTAATTATTTATTAGGAAATTGTATGATATATCTTAATCAAAATTATTAAATACACTAAAAGAATCTAAGTGATAATAAAAATAATAGAAACTTAATGAAAGGATAAAGCTTATGTCTCTAAGTATAGTCATTATTATATAATTAGAACAAGTTACTTGTATTAGAAATAGTTATTGAGTGACTCAGTGGTGTCCCAAATTTTCTGATCAAGGAGATTTTGGGGCCACACAGAAAGTGATTGACAATGTAAAGTGTGCCTAAGGAGAGTCACCTAGAGAGAAAACATTCTCTCAGGCTTTCACAGAGAGCAAATTGGTCAAGCAGTGGCCGTGACTCATCCACATGGCTGACACTGACAAAAAAATCTGCAAACTGCTGTACAGGGTTTCAGGGTAAATCCTGAGGGGATCTGATTGACCTTCTCAACTACAAAAATTACATTTTTTTGTTATATAGGTCTTGCTTTATCTTAGTCTTAACAATGTAGCAGAAAAGTATAAAAATGAGGTATAAAAAGTAAAGCCATATTAATATGCTGAACTGTAAAAGACTCAAGTCAACAACTTCTGACATTGCCAGTTCTGCAGATAACCCACTACTATTATGGACTACTGAACTATATTGGATTATTTTGCTGAATTCATGTACCTACAATATTTGAATGGCAATGGAATACCCTTCTCTGACAAAGCTAAACAAAAAAGGGGGATGGAAATAGTTATTGGGAAATTATGATCCCATACTGCTATATATACTCTAGTGAAAGTGACAACATAGCCCACAAGATAAACCTGATCCACTTCCTATTTTTATGAAGACTACTTAATAGGAACACAGCAATGATCTCTCATTTATGTACTGCCTATAGCTTTTAGACTATGAAACAGACAAATAGTTGTGACAGTATCTATGTTCTAGTAAGACTAAAATACTATCTGGCCATTTGAGAAAATGTTTGTCAACTTTTGCTAATGATACAATTCCTTATACAAAAAACTGAGAAGTAAAACATTAAATATAATAAAATTGCAGTTCAATTTTTATCTGCAAAATGTATCCTCCAACAATATAATGTTGAAACCAGTAGCATGTTCACATAAAAAAAACTTGAAAACTCTTGCCTTAAGAATTTTTTTAAAAATAAAAACAATTTTCTAAAGAAAATGATTTAAAGTTTTTAAAAAATGATTTATTTTTACAACTGTCACAAACCTATGGATTGAAAGTATATAAAAATTTGAACATATACATACCCTACAATTTGATTAAAATACTTCCTGTAGCCATCTAAAGTTTCATGCTGCAAAAAGCAAAGGGAAGAAAGTTACTCCTTGTAATTTTGTTACATTAAGACAAAGTTAAAATCAGCTATTTAATCTTGAAGCCCAATTCCCTAAACTAGTGTTAGGGAGTCTTTTAGAAACCTAAAGCCCAAACTAAAACCTAAAACCAACGCTATAGTCAGGGTTTGCAAGGGAATTGATTTACTATAGGACACATAATTTATAGATTATTTTATAATATGCACCCAAAAGGTTAAATGGAGAACAGTGTAGGAGACTTGACCATGTGCTAGAGACCTACAGAATGCAGCTGAGGGCCTGGATCATATGGCAATGTTCTGCACAAGTCCAGCTGAAGACCTACAACCTATGGCAGTATCTTCCATGAGTCCAGCTGGAGGCCTAGAGTCCAAGACAAAATCTCATGCAAGTCCATATCAAGGATCTGCACTGGGAAGGCCCAAAGGCCAGTGCTGAAAGCTAAAAAGTCTGCACTAACGGGATGAAGGACCGGTGCCACCAGGCTGAGCGATTTGCACTGGAAGGAATGATGCTCAAAATAAGGACTAAAGCTCCCCCACAAAAAAACCACAGCCATTCTCAGCAACAGCAAGGACCTAAGCTCCTCCAATGACAAGAACAGCTGAGTTCTTATCAGTGAAACCAACATGACAAGCTTTTCCAGGAGAATCAACAGCATACCATTTTCCCTTCCAATTCTCCTTTTATGCCGTTGGCACCACACCTCAGGTGGGCTTTCCATGCCCAGAACCACACTGATTCAATTCATCTGGGTGTTACAAGTTGACCATTAGTTAATCTACCACACCTACTTATTTATCACAAAGTGCCAACACTGCAATTAAACCTGAATAACATGGAGGTTTTAGTTTAGAGAAAAAATCTGATGCTCAGCTCCTGGGGCGACTTGGCTTGTGTGCCAAAAGAAAGAGCTCTGAATGCCCACTGTGGCACATGTCCCATAGGTTCTGGACCACTGCCCTGTGCCCATGACATACACTACTAGCACATTTATAAGATAAATATGATAGTAGTACCTTATGACTAAAAGCTGAAGTTATGAGCATTTGGTTCAGTTATATGAAAACTATAAAGACTATGATTTATTGGCAAAACAAAGATGGAATCAGGGCCACAAGGCCTGAGGCTGTTTAGGTCCCTCGTGACATGCTCTCAGAGGTTCCCACAGATACTGGTAAGAAAATGCTCATAAGTCTGCAGAGAGACGTATTCCTCTCTGCTAGGTCAAAGCCAATCATCTTCCTGAATGCAGCAAGATGGTTCCTCGCAGATGCCCCACTGTCTGCCAGGAAGCTATAGTAGAAAAGAACAGGTTTCCTCTGCCCAGTTCAAACTTTCATAGTCAAGACATATCTGTGGGTGGCTAAGAGCCACCTACAGAGTTCTATTTCCCCATGAGCAAACTATTCAGGAATATGACAATGTAGCAGAAAGTACTCTCCCACCAGTATATTTCAGTTTCTGTTAAGTGTCCCAGGTAACAGCTCCTGTTGCTTTTGTCTCTTAGAAACTGGTCACTGTGATACATAGCTGGTCATTATGATGTATGTTGTAAGAACCAATCAAAGACAGCCAAATATTCTGCCTCTGTACTTCCCCTTTCAACTTCATAAAATCCTCCCTTTCCATGCCTTTGAAGCCTGATAATTAAAGAATGATTCCTCTCAGTTCCCTTCAATGTAAATAAATCTACCTCCAAATCTAGGGTTTTGTTGCAGGGTTTCTGTTTGCCATAGCAATAATACTATGCACCTTATATAATGACACTGTGAATGAAATGAGACAATACATAACTAGTACTTAGAAGACTGGCTAACACATAGCAACCAAATCTATTGATTCGCTATTTTTACTTCAACACACACACACACACACACACACACACACACACACACACACACCAGTTAGCACACAAGAAAAGGGAAATATGCAAAAACTGAAGGTGATGATCTTACCATGTTTGACGGGGGCTGGAGCACCAATCTGGCCTGTTTTCGTCTCTGTTTTCGGTAGTAGTTCTCAAATGTTTCCCTGGCACCCTGTAAAAGAAACAAAAAGATATGTTAACATAGTAGGAATAAGTCATCTTGGATTTCAAGGGAAAAGAGAAGGTTCCAGGTCTGAATTTGAGGCAGCACCACTAGTTTTCACAATAATAATTACTGAAAATAAAATGAATCATTACCACTTATTAAACCTTACTTACAAATTCCATGACAATGGGCATAGATTTTTATAATAAAATTACCATAATTCAATCACCTGTGAAACAAATCTGGCTGCTGGGTCAATTATCATAAATTCATAAATTCATAAACATGAAGGAAAACCACCACAGGTTGTAGTAACAGATGAGAAAATTCATACAATGCTCCAGAAGAAAAACATTAAGAGTTAAAACCAGCCTTGAAATGAGTCATGAGCAAAGGGGTATCAGAATGTAGAAAATAGATAAAAACTTGGTAAGTCCATCTTCCCAACAGAATATGCACTGGTCTGAACCCTTCAAAAAAGAAATAAATCCCTTAATGTTCTTGGTATGCAATTTCCACTTCTCATTTAGGGTTTCCAAAGTGAAAAGGAGAGGTGCTCAGAGAACAATGTCTAGCTCGCAAGGCCTGGACTCATGAGTTCTGTACTGGCTTAACAACTGTCTAACATGCATGTCATTCTCAGAACCTCAGAATGTGGCTTTACACTAATACAGATGTAATGAGTTAAATTAAACGTTGTTACAATAGCATAGGATAAGCTTCACTACTTGACTGATACCCTTACAGAAAAGACACAGAGGGACAGACACCACGGGAGGCCACCACATGAATAATGACTAGAGCAATCCTTCTGAAAACCAAAAACCCAAAGAACTGGTGATATCACCAGAGAAGCTAAAAACAGGCAAGGATTTTTCAGTCTCTCAGAGGAAGGGATGCCTTTCTAATACCTTTAACTTGAATTTTGAGGTACCAGATCTGGATAGAATAAATTTCTGCTATTTTGAGGCCCCTTGTATACGGTATTCTGTTGTAGCGCCTGCAGAAAACTAGTGCAAGCTCAAGGATTTTAAAATAATCCATACACACCATATGATTAAATTTCATTTTTTTAATTGAAGGTTTTTCCAAATAAGCAAAAGTAGAAAAGACAGCATACCACAGTAGTAAAGAACACTGACTTTGAAATAAAGTGCTTACACTCAAATTGTGGTTTTTCCCCTTACTAATTGTATAACTGCTATAAACAGCTGTATAACTTCCTTTCCACTAATTTAAACCCTACTATTTATTTAACTTTCACTTACAAGTGTTCTGTGGTTTTCTCATTTGTAGAGATGTCAATTTGGTTGTTATGAGGATTTAGAAGAGTTATAAAGCTCTTACAACAGTGTCTGATAGTAAAAAGCATTTATGCAAGAGTTACTTTTTTAAAAAGATGAAATGGATGATAAAAGTGAAAGCCCTGCCCACCTTTTCAATTTTTTCTGCCTCCCTAAAAATCTGAATAACTTTATTCAATGTGACTTGTTTCATTACTAAATTGACCCTAAATTGAGAATATTGACTTCTAATACAAAGTCATTGCAACACACTAACATAGTGCAGGAGTTCCAAGCATTTTCTATGAAGGCTAAGAGAGTAAATACTTTAGGTTGACGGGCAATTACTAAACTATGTTCCTGTTTTTGTACAGCAAAAGCAGCCACAGCCAACACATACATGAGTAAGTGTGGCTATATTCCAACAAAATCTTATTTGTGGGAAGTGAATTAGAATTTTACAAAATTTCCATCTGTTGTGAAATATTATTTTTCTTTTGATTTTAAAAATGTAAAAAATATTTTCAGTTCTTAGGCCAGATAGACACAGGCAGCAAGACAGACTTGGTTAATGAGTCCAGTTTTATTTATTTTATTCAGTCCATCTTATTGTAAAAATCTTGGATCAGTTTGTTAAACCCTCTTGTAACTTAAAAAACAAAGATCTTAAATGCTACAGTGATTATATAACTGTATATACTTAACCTTTTTTTTTCTACAAAATAAAATCAAATAGTAGAA